GGAGTAAAGTGCCGCCACACCTTCTCGAAGCCCACAACTCGTAGCCCCTCGGCAAACAGATTCGTGGCTCTCCTCATAGCGCCGATCGGAAGGTCATCGTCAAGGTCAGCCGAATGGCGTTCCCTGAGGTGTGACACCAGGTCGGAGGTCGGCCCTGCACACGGTTATAAAATAACAGTAAGGGCATCGCTTCACGGTTTTCGGGGCCTGCCGCGCCCCCTGAGGACACTGTGGACACAAGAAAAATATTGTTATCAGAATTGGCACTTTCACACACTCATTAGAAAAATAAAATATGTTACCTAAGTGTGTGACAATCACCTTTACGCCCCAGCAGACCTCCTTGGGCGTGGCAGGCCACCACGCCCTGTCCTGGCTCCCATTCCTACGGTAGAATTCGACTTTTGGCTTCTAGAAAGAAATTAACAGACGTCAGGCAACAGGCAGTTATGTCAGAATTCGAGAAGAAAGTTTGAAGTGAGGAAACACTTATATCAAAAGCGAACGGCTCCTCCTTAGGTTTTGGAGTTGATTTCTTTAACTCCTTGGGTTTGACTGGAGTATCATCAATTTCACCATCCTTCCTTTTGTTCTGTGGAAAAAATTAAAATTTGTAAGAACAGTCAAAATTGGAATAAAATAATGGTTTTACAGAAAAAAAACTGAAAGAAAGTTACCTTCGGGGAGTCGTCCCGCGAAAGTCTCACTTTCGGCATTTTAGTGGGCATAGATGGCACGACCTCAAAGTCTTTAGCTGCAAAGCAACGTTAAAAAAGAGTTGTAAACTACCCATGATATTTAACGAAGAAAGAGAGGGGGGAGGAAGACGTGACGCCCAGCGCCAGAAATTTGTGATTGGCTGAAATTTCCCTGGCTCGACTCGGACTACTGCTCAGCTCGTCATTTCCATGGAAACTTGTGAATGCAAACTCAAATTTTATCTGACAAAATTATAGCAAGCATATCTAAAAAAAATCTAATTTTCTGTAGTATTTTATATTCAAATTTCATTAACTTGTCAAGAAATAGAAAGTACTTTTGTTGTCTGTCAAAATTTATTAAAAACTACCTCCGTTGTGTTCCACGATTTGTGAGATCGTATTCAAACTTGATTTGGTCACTAAATTCTTGTGGTCAATGCCAGAAGATTATGAGAATGTGAATAGTTCACTACTGCCAGTGAATAAAGATGAATTGACCTTGACTTTCGTGCGAAAGATTATTGAAGATTTTGAGTTATCCAGACAGAATCAGAAGAAGTCAACTAGTAACCAACAGACGTTGACACCAGTTGCATTTTCGGCAACGGGAGTTTTTGGACGAAGAGATCCTATGTTTAAAAATCTGTGTCATAATTGTAAAGGCCGGTAAAGGCTTTGGACACAATAGATTTCAGTGTACAAGATTTGGTGGAGGTGCTTATAGAGGACGAGGAGCAGGAAACTTTTATTACTCGCGAGGCAGAGGCCAACCAGCTCATACTCGGGTGATGTTATCCGCAGGTAGCGGGGCAAGCCTCGATTTCGACCGTCGGTTCTTGCTATAGTTTGTTTTCCTGCGAATAGGGTGTACCTGCGACTACCTGCGAATAGACGTTTGCATGAAAGGGAGGTTATCCGAAGGTAAACAATATTTGTGTGTAGTTGAGGTTGAGATGTTTTGAATACCTGTGGTTAAATCATTACCCCAAATAGGAATGATATTCGAAGGTAAATGTTTGGAAGTGTTAAGGAATAGTTTTTTTAGGGATTTTTTAAGGAATTACTTGAAGAAAAGAAATAAAGAAATCAATTTTTTATAAGTTTCTTATGCCTTGCAATATTCTTACAATATAGAAAGTATGAGTAACAGTGAGAACTTAAGTCCTGCACGATAGAAACATGATTAAACTAGGACATTAATGAGTCATAAAACAAATAAAAAGTATAGAATAAGAGTGGGACACAACTTCTCAGGTTAAAAGAGCCTCACTGGTAGACTTTGAGCTGGAACCGACAGTTTCAACTGGTCGTAAAGTAAAGGAGAATGAACTTAACTAAATCACAACGAACGTAACAATCCTCATTTAACTGAGAATAAAGAATTGCACCCACTTTCACCATGGCACCAATAAGATCACAAATACCACAAATTTATATAACTATTCATTAATCTGTAATAATTTTTAACAAGTTACCAAAATTTTTAAAAGGAACAGAGGATTTAGGAAGTTTTAAACGGGGAGTGAAGAAGTGGGTTTTAAGCAAAGAATTTTCTTCACTAGAAGAGTTTTTATCAGAATGGCAAAAAGAAGAAATTTGAAATCTTAAAATTATTTTATCTTCAACAACTGCTTGCGTCGGACTCTGTGTACTGCTGAAGGAGAGGATTAATTTAACCTCTTTTTTTTCTGGCATAGGCTACAAAATACCATGTATTACAACAAATTTCTCCAATAAATAATAATAATAATTAATACTGGTTCCACAAGGTATCAGACATTGGTTTGTGTGTTACTTTAAAGAGAAATAGAAAATAGAATAGGAACACAGCCAATGTAGCATTTGATTTCTTAATAAGGATCTAACTAAAGTACACCAAAGAAAAATGATTACAAGGATTTCTGTGGGGCCCGAACCAGACGGGTTTTTGTTTGGCCTGAAGGTGTTCCCGTTCTATCTTGATTATCTTGTGACCAACTTTACTATGTTGGTTATAAGATAAGCCAGATTGAATAATTCACTTTTAATTAAATTTCTCCAATTGTCTGCTTTTGTTTGTTTCTACCTTGCAGCCTTGCAACAGTTGATTCAGTCGGCGGTAGCTGAAGCTATCACTAGTAACTGCCAACAATCCCCTGCTCGTACTGGTACGAGTAGTTCCCTTACTACTTCAGTTACAGAAATGGTAAGTTCTTTTCTGTTTCTTTTGTTTGTTATTGGCTGAGCGATAGCGAAGCCTATTACTCCAGTGATGATCAAAAAGTTTCGTGTCTGTCTGTCTGTCTGTCTGTTTGTCTGTAAACACGATAACTCGAGAACGGGTTGAGCTAGGTATCTGAAATTTTTAGCGTAGCTTTGTAGCATAAAAAGCAAGAACGGTATTGATTTTGAGCCCTCTAGCTTGAAAATTAAATCAGAAACGAAAACCCCAAAATATTACTTGTAATTTTTTATTTTTTTTACATCTTTCTAAGATGTAACTCGTCAAAGTAGAGCCCGTAGGGCTAAAATTTTGTCCGTTTGGCTCTATCTCTAACCGTTTAGTCGCCAGAGGGCGATTTTAACACGAAAATGACCCCAAACCATTTTAATGTTGTTTCTCAGATATTTGATGGACTCTGGTGGGGCAACTCGTCAAAATAAAATCCTGGGGGTAAAATTTGTGTCCTTTGGTGCCGAAGGCCTATCTGCGACTCTGCCTTTTGCCCGACTCGGGTGTCAGCGCCGCAGGCCTAGGTAGATGTATGCCAGGCGCGTCGCAGCGTAACAGTGTTTCGTGAGATATCGCGAAGCCTGTTACGCGAGACGTGGTCTGGCGTACATCTACCTAGTTAATTGAAACTTACAAAATATATCTAATATGTTTATATTTTTTTCCAGGTTAATATTCGCCATGATGTCACGATTCCCTCTCATATCCACTCAACGGCTACCCAGTGCGAAATGAATTTTAAGCGATATCGAATCGATATCAGAACGATATCGTTTTCAAGTTTCTGACTCAGAACTGATTCAAAAATGGGCCCGAAATCGACACTTTTCTGATGTCCGATATCGTTTTGATGTCAATTTGATATCCGCATTTCTCACTGGGTATGGCCGTTGGTTCACCATCAAGAATGACCACAATGCTGCTCCAGGCAGCGTATACGTCAGATAGGCATTTGATTGGGAAGTCATATGCTGGTCAGAAAAAAACCATTCATAATAAAGTTTATCAAAAACCCGGGATTAAACGTAGGAGGAAGGTTGTAGCTATTCAAGGTAAGGCCACATACTTTTCAATTAATTTGTAATGTTCACAAACTCACAATATTCATTCGATTATTCTTTGCTTTTCAGCCCTTGTCTTTAAGAAACATCCAACCTATACTCAAAGTGCCTTTGGACAAGTCATCAACAATTACATTGCTAAACTCAGCAGCCTGCCTGCCCATCCAAATAAAGTAAGTTTCCACTATCTATCAGTACAGTGAGGCTTTTGTTTCAACAGTTGTCATTTCTCACATTAATTTGGTTTTCTGTCACAGGAACAGCAACTGGAAGACGATACTGATAGAGAGATGTAAATAGAAGACTCGTTAGTTTTTATGTTAGAACTTTATTGCTGAGCTCGCGAAGCGAGCGAAGCTCTAGGGCAGACTTTTC